TTGGCACAGGACAGAGCAGAGTTTAGGGCTGTTGTACATAGGGTCGCTATGAGTCGCAAGCGACTCGACGGCACATAACAACAACAACAATCTTACTGCATCTAAACAGAAAGTTTAGTAGCAGTAGTACATTTATTACAGACACTAACCTTGACATCCCGAAGACCAGAAACATCACGTGGTATCTGAGAAGAACTACGACTCCGGGCTACAGAAGTGGGTGGGGCAGAGTCTTCCCGTTTCCTTTTTCTATTTATACTCCGAGATCTTCTTGCCTGGACCACATAGTGGGCCTGAAAACCATGAAAGACCAAGTAATTCTAGAGCTCCAGGTCTTCAGCCTTGCCTCAAGATTTAGTGATAAAAAAACAATCCAGCAAGGGGAAGAACAGTGAGAAATTTTCAGAACAATAACCAAATAAGTTAGAGTTAAAAGACACAATTTCCAGCCATCTATTGGTCATTTTTCTCATTTAAAATAAGCTTCTTTATGTTATGAAGCTGCTTTTCATTCCATTTTAAATATTCTACACATTAACATTCTTTGTGTTCTACTAAACTATTAGTTATCATCATAATTTATATTTGAGACACAGATTTTGATATCTTGCTACTTTTGGGTTACTTCATCTGTAAAATAAAACTATCTCAGTAAGTATTAAGCAAAACACCTAATGACAATGAAACATTAAATGTGTATAAACCCACTGGTTTTGGTTGAGTCCTGACTAATAACCATACTATATGACAGAGCGCAAATGTCCAAGAAGGCAGTCAGAACGTCAAACCATTATCATCCTTCTCCCAAAGAGGGACTGGTGGGTTTGAACCACTGATTTGTTAGTTAGCAACTCAATACTTAATGTGCACAGGTCTCTTTATAAATGTGTGTATAAAATGTAGTATATTTATATACAAATACACATTAAAATGATGCTCCATTTAAGCAAAGATAGGGAAACAGGTATATTCACTTATTGTTTATTAAAATTCAAGTTCATCTCATACTTTTGGAAAGAAATCTAACACATTTTTCTCTGTATTTTGTAACTCTACTTGATACTGTTTCTATGAAGTAGTAAAATATGAACAAGTTCTCTTACGTGCAACAAACAATAAATGATCTGGCATAATTCATGATATATAAGTGGGCTTGAGTTTTCAGAAACTATGTATCACACAGGAGGAGACTGTCCATCTTTTCCCAGCATAGCAGCTGGTGAATTTAAACAGTCTGCTCTTTATTCAGTAGATCTCTTTGAATTCCTCTAGGAGATGGCAAATACATTAATTTAAAAATTTCAAATTTAAGGCGAGCTCTTGTGGCCTAGTGGCAAGAAGGTGTACTGCAATCCCAGAGGTGCACGGCTCAAATCCACCAGATGCTCTGCTGGAGAAGAAGGAACAACCTCCTCCTGTACCAGTCAGATCTGATTTCATGGTACACACACACAAATAATAAAATAAAATTTAAATTAAAAAAATTTTCAAATTTAAAAGTTTCAAAATAAAATTTTTCCCCCACTCCAATGATATCGTGAAACAGCCCTGGCAGCCTACTGGTAAAGACTTGCATTGGCAACCCAAAGGCACACATTTTAAATCTACCAGCCAGAATGCCCACAAAAATGGGCACTCTCTTACCATGTGATGATATACTGCCTTCTGAAAACACACTGAAGGCTAAGCTGTTGAACAGTTCTTACTTCATAGTACACACAACTACTCCACAATGATAACTTGTCTATACTACAATCAAAAAACGTCAATGGAACATACAAAGAATGAGCATGAATATTACTTTTAAAAAAATTTACAAATTTCTATTAACTAGAAAATAGAAAACTATGTACACAGAAAACATAGTATCAACCAATTTTTCAAACCATAAAACTGTTAACAGTAACTAAAATGTAAAACTAAAGTAGGAGACAAGGAACTGTGCACATTCCTACAGATGATTTATAAAAAGGTCTTTCTAAATATATTCAACTAATTGGGAACAATAATAAAAAGTGAATTTTAAAAATTCAACCCATTTGCATCAGCAGTGCAGGATGACCAAACCTACAAACACCCAAAATTACAGACTGAAAGAAAATCAAGTGTCAACTAATATATTGAGAGTATTTATATGAGATATTCATCATGTATTTTAACTAAAAGTAGGAAATGAATAAAAAATCTGTTCAATAAAAATAGTACATTTAATTCCTTTTCCTTGTATTTAGTGAATCAATGAGGCTTCTAAAAACCCAGCTTTATCAATGAGCTGCATCTAATTATATGCACAACTAGAATTATCCCTACACACTTACACTCTCTTTAATATCCGTGTCAATTCCAAGGCTTTGCATTGCATCCTCCAACTCTTTCCGTTGAACCTGAAAAATTGAAAGAAAAAACATCTCTCTTAAGCAAAATTAATCTGATAAAATGTTCGAAAAAACCAAGGAAAATAAAATTTTATGTTACTCTAAAACATAATTTTGAGAAGATACTGCTTGTTTCCTTGGGCTCATTTTCATGTTTTTGAAAAGTTGAAACTGATTAATCGGTTCACATGAAAACCACACTATGTACACTCCTGTCCTTTTAGTCTTCACAACAATCCTGAGGCATAAATCTGTCTCCAATGTATAAATGAGATCACTTGTCTAAAGAAGAGTGGAAAACTGGGCATGGAGGCATAGGGCCATGAGCATCTCTCTGAAAGGGTAAGAGCACAGCCCCTCACTGCCCCAGAGTAGAAAGCAGATTAAAGAGCCCACAGGCCTATCCCATGGTGCAGCCAGAGTCCCTGCAGCAGCAAGAAATTCACTGCTGACTCAAAGACTCACAGTTGTGGTACCGAGAATAGGGTTTATTAAGAGAAATGAGTGGAGGATCTATCCCAAAGAATCTATCCCAAGACAAGTCCAAGTGTTAGCCCAATAGTTCCAAGGAACAATTCCTCAAATTAGTCCAGGCTCTGGTTTCAGTTCAGCAGTCAAATCCAAATCATCCAGCTTCAGAGCAGTTATAAGTCAGCTTCTCTGTCAAGCTTCTGTCAAGAACAGCTAAAGCTTTAACTGTGGCCAGCACAAATGCAAAAAGCCTCAGGTCACGTTTTGTCAGTTTCTCCATTGCAATGTCACAGTCTCTCCAGCAGTAGGGTCTTGCCGCTCCAATCCTTGCTTGCCTCAAGTTTTGCTGCTCAGTGTGGGAAGCATTCTTTCTAGATCCTAGTATAACAGCTGATGGTGATTTGCAAGATCAGGTGCCTACAGTTAACATAGATGGAGACCAGAAGGGGCTAATCTTAATGGCTTAAAAAGCTAAATTTTAGGCTAACACTACAATCACCAAAGGTGCAGTTAAGCAAAGTGTCAAAGGTAGACTCTAAGGCTCTCTCGGTCCAAACACTGAGTATTGCTAAGAGGAATATAAAATTGTCCATTTGAGTCAATAACCTCTCATCAAATGAAACTTGCTAGGTGCCAGTGAGCTGATTTGGCCATCTGGGCTTCTCTCTCATGGATGGAGCCACTGGATAGTTTTCGATTTCCAACTTTTTGGTTAGCAGAAGTACTTAGACGTTTGTGTCTACACATCTTTATAGGAAAACCACATACTGAGAGACTAACCCTGCTGCTCTTATCTTTTACAGAACTGTTCTCTCTCCAGGTGGTTTAGGACCCTGCACTGTTCACATGGATCGGCATAATCTAGGCCTGATCAGACGCAGAAACAACTTAATAGTCCAACAAGAGTACGGAGTTGGAAAGAAAGATGCCTTAAAAAAAATCTTTTAAAAAAAAATCTTTTGGAGGGAAAGACTTCATACTATGACACAGAGAACACTCAACAATAAATGAAAGTATACATAGTAGTACATCTTTCTACGTATACTTAAGAGAAAACCCCGAAGGCTCAGAAAAGAAAAAAAACCACAAACCAAAAACTAAAAACAAAAACCAAACAAACCTGTTATACGTAATAGATTAATTTTGTAGAGTGTCAAAATAAAAAAATCGCTGGATTTCTCTACAGCAACAATGAAAGCATGGAAAAAGGAAATAAAAACACAAACCATTTATATTATTTGGGAATAAACTTAGAAACACAAAAGACTTGATGAAGAAAATGATAAAATAATACTCTAAGAAATAATGAGAGGGGGAGCTCTGGTGGCCTAGTGGCAAGGAGTTCCAACTACAATCCCAGAGGCACACGGTTCGAATCCACCAGATACTCTGCCGAGAAAAGGAGGGACAATCTCCTCCTGTACCAGTCAGATCTGATTTGACGGTACACTCACACAAAAATAAAAAATAAAAAAAAAAATAATAAAAATAATTTAAAAAAGAAATAATGAGAGACCTAACTAACTGTAAAAATATTTCCGATTCAAGAACAGGACGACTCAACACTGAAAATAGCAAAGCTGTCTATAGGTTCTACACAATTTTAATCTTCTTGTTGCCGTTAGGTGTCGTCGAGTTGAGTACAACTCATAAGCACCCTATGAACAAAAGACCTCAACCTTGTCCTATCCTATGTCATCCTCACAATCTCTGACACATTCCAGCCCACTGTTGTGTCAATACACCAGTTTGAGGGTCTTCTTCTCTTCTGACACCCCTCCACCTTTCCAAGCATGATGTTCCTTTCTGAAGCAACATGCCAAAGGATGTGAGTTGAGCTTTATTATCTTTGCCTCCAAGGAGCACTCTGGCTTCATTTTCTCCAAGACATATTTTTTTTTTCTTTTAGCAGCCCATGGGATAACCCATACTCTTTTTCAACATCAAGTTTCAAAGGCATCAATTCTTCTTCTGTCACTCTTATTCACTGACCAGTTTTAGGAACATAGCAAATCACTGAAAAAGACCAAGGACTAAATACCCAGTTCATTCTTCAAAGAGAAAAAGTCATTTCCAGTTTTACTTGAAAATGAAAGAGGCTCAAAATAGCCAAAGCTCTTCTGCAAACAAAAATAATATAGGAGGTACCTCACTCCTGGATCTCAGAACAGCATGGTACTGGTACAACCACAGAGATCAACAGAAAAGACTCTAGAACAACCTATCAAAATAAGGTCAACTGGTATTTGACAAGGTAACAAAATCCTTTAAATAGAAAGTGAACAGTCTCTTTAACAATGGTAAAACTATTTATTTACTTATAGAAAATTTAAATGGGATCCACAACTCACACCATACAGGAAAAAACCCTACTCAATATGGATCAGAGACCTAGGGGTAAAACCCCAAGCCATAAAGATCAGAAAAGACAAAATGGGAACACATTTAGAAGCCTTAGCCTATAGCATAAATAGGCTTACAGAGCCAAACAATCTGTAACTTAAGAGAAAAAAAGAATTGACAAATGGGACCTTCTTTTTTTTTTATTGTTTTTGTGTGTACCGTCAAATCAGATCTGACTGGTACAGGAGGATATTGCCCCTCTTTTTCCAGCAGAGCATCTGGTGGATTCAAACTGCGTACCTCTGGGATCGCAGTGCACTTCTTGCCACTAGTCCAGAGCTCCCTGGACCTTCTTAAAATAAGTATTTGTGTGCATCAAATAGGGTAAAAAGAAAGCCCACAGACTGGGAAAAAAACATTTGGCAATGACATATCTGACAAGGATCTCATAACTAAACCTTACAGAATATTACAGAGATGTAACCCAGTTACTAAGTGGGAAAAGACTCTTTAAAAAGGAGGACATTTTGATGGCCAAGAAATATTTGAAGAAATGTTCAAAATCCCTAGCAATTAGAGATGTAAATCAATAAATTTTCACCACAGCAGCAGCAAAGTTTAACAACAAAGGTAAAAACACATGTTGTAGAGGATGTGGAGAGACTGGAAGTCCAAAGCACTCTTACTGGGATTAAAAATGGTACAACCACTATGCAAAGTAATTTGGCTTTTCCTGAGAAACCAAAACATAGTAATCCTGTATGACCCAGATATTCCACTGCTAGGAATATATCCCAAGGAAATCAGAACTGAGACCTGAGTAGAGATATGTACAACTATGTTCAGAGCAGTGTTATTCACAATAGCAAGGAAATGTAAACAGCTGAAAAGCCTACCAATGCATGAATTAAGAAATTATGGTACACAACAGAATCCTATACAGCATTAAGGAATAATGATTTAGTAAAATATCATATTACATGGGAGAGTCTGGAGAGCATTATGCTGACCCAAATAACTGTCACATAAGGAAAAATACTGTATAAAATCACTAATGTGTGAATAACTATCAAAAGAGAATAGGGAAGAGGAGAAAAAGGGAGAAGAGAATATTACTGATAGCAGAGATTGGTGGGTAAAGGAGTAAGATAGAATCAATGAAAACTTGAAAAGATGGGATAATAGACATAGATCAATACATATACAATTATACACTGACTATATAAAACACAATGTACATGAATACAATGTATATGAAAGATTGTATAAAATGCAAAGTACATGTATGAAATGATGTATCTGAATGACTATATATGTATCCCAATAAAAAATTTTTTAAAAAAACTTAATCTGAGTTTTAATAGTGTTAAAATGAGAGTTAAGTTAGTGAGAATTAGTTGGTAAAAGAGCGCATGACTAAAAAAATAACTTATTATGATATGTAATTTTAGAACAATAAAATCCCAATTTAAATAAAATACTTGAACATTTTACAAAAGATACAATGAAGTAAACACATGAAACAGTACACACTTATCCTATTATCTGGATAGCCATAAGAAACACAAACATATTTGTACATAAACACTCAGATAAACTTTAAGAATCAAGCAATCTTGTTACTGAATATTCATCAAGGAAATGAAGTAAAATTTTATAGTCACTTATGGACAGAAAAGTTTTATTTAGCAATGATTACTTAGTAATCTCATTCATATGCAGAGGTCATGTTTGTTTGAAAACAGCAAAAACTTGCCTTTTTAGCAGTTCGAGGCATTCTAGGTCCCTGTGTATTCTTCTCTTTTGATTGAAGAATTTTTAGCTTCTTTTTTTCTCTAATTTGTTTGGCCAACTGTCGGATTTCCATCACTTCCTCATCTTCACTTTCAGAGTCACTATCATAGTCTCCAGCAGCTGTTCTTAGCTCTTCTTCTTTTTCTAACTCTTGTAATTTCTTTAAAAATAAAAAGATGTAATTATACAAAACTAGAAGCAAAGATGGGGGAAAAATACATCTAAGGACCTCAATTTGAAGAGCTGAGTGATTTTCTCTAACAATATTCAGAGGGACTGGTAAGTTTCAAGGTACATACAGGTAAAGTACTGAGGGAACAGAAACAGGTAGGCCAGGAGTGTGGTTTCTCTTTGAGTGGTTTGTATTGCAGGATAAAAAAAAAATTATTAAGGAAATCACAAAGTAGGAAAGGGATCACCAACCTTCATGATGTCAGGATCAATATAATCAGCCACATTATGACCCTCCCAAATCTCTGGTATCTTGTCATATTTTTCAGATGAATTCATTAAGTCCCAGTATTCTAAAGTTAACAAACAAAATGATTAGTTTTATATTTGTTTATAACTTAAACAACGATGTGCCCAAAATGAGTGTAATTTTGCCCAGTGGCATCATTCCATAAATTTAACCGCATCAGTATTTAACACTACAAAATGATCAATAAAAAACTACTCCAAATTCTGCCTAAGATATTTCATATGTCAAAAACAAGTAGCCAGGGAATTAAAAACAAACACAGGATACCTACTTGGACTGGAAGCAAAAAGTACAATAAATAGACAAGAACATTTCAACGTTTTTACGTTCTAAAAGCTACAGACTGCTAGGAGAACAAACAGGTCTGTCCTGGAGAAGGTGAAGCTGGAATGCTCCTTGGAGTCAAGGATTTTGAAGCTTTGTCTGACACACTTTGGGCATACTGCAAGGAGGGACTGATCCTTGGAGAGGGGCATCATGTTTGGCACAGTGGAGGGGCAGCGAAGGAGAGGAAGACCTTCGATGAGATGGATCAATTCTGGGACTGGAGTGGTGGGAATAAGTGCATTTGGGATGGCTAGGTTGGCACAGGATAGAATGGCATTTAGAGCTCTTGTACATAGGGTCGCTATGAGTCGCAAGCGACTCGATGGTACATAACAACAACAACAACAAAAGCTACAGAAAGAACCCATTTATACAAAAGGTGCATACAGTTACTCTCACAGAACTCTATCAGTAAGCAACAGTTAATCTGCAAGAAATGGAGAAAAAAAAATCAAATATGCTTGAAGACTTAAAGTCTCCTCACTTTCTTGAAACACCTTATATGTAAATGTAAACTTTAAGATAATGACACTATTCTGGATAGTACTTACTTTGAAGATCCAAAATATAATCATCTCCCATTTCCAACTCAATATCTCGTTCCTGCAATGATAAAAAAAGTTAAAAAATTTAAAATTAGCTTTCTTTTATCTTTTACATTTAGAAATGCTATGTAATAAACTCTTTGTCATTATAAAATAATGCCTTTTTGCCAATGCAACACCTAACTGATTTCAATATCCTATGAATTCACCTCCTACTTCTGGCATGAAAGCAGTTGTGCTCTGTTAATGGACAAAATTTACTACTGTCCCATGAACTAAAAAAAAAAAATCTAAAGAGAACAGGGACTTTTCTTAGGCTTATCGTCACATTATTTCGAGGAGCTAACAATATACATTTATAGATCCTATTGCTCTCCTTTATTATTAGTGGTGCTGACAGACCTTTGCCTCTTTTTTCACAATTAACGCAGGCAGAGCCTTCATGTAAAGTAACCTACCCTTTTCTTCTTTGGCTCTTCAGTCTCCATTCTCTTCTTACGTGCTACTACTCCTGCTGGGATGAAAGGAGGCCTTTCCTGTGGAGATATTATTGAAAATATGACTGCAAGACATCTTGTGAATCAGAAAACAAACTTTCAGAATAGTATCAATAAGAATTCACAAGCAAATTCTTAAGTTTATTTACAACAAAGTATCCTGGGAAGTTACAGAAGAACAAAAGTGGTACTAGAGAAATAAAAGCAGATAAACTGGTGAGAGAAACAGATGCTACTACATACACAAACTCAATGGAAAAATGAAGTAGTTATTTCTTATTACATCTGAGAAAAATGACCAGATATTCAGAAACAGAAGTAGGTAACCACCCTGTACTTCTTTATAACAAAAGAAACTGAGTAAAGAGGGAGATAGCACTGAGGCTCCCTTGAGGATAGGTCCCTCCATTTGGGGATCCTTGCCTCCATGTCTGTGGGGCTATCCCTGGGGCCAAATAGGACAAGAGAGTTTGGGACACAGAGCTAAAAGCAGGGGGAAAATTTTCTGACTTCAGACTCCCCTGCACACAAGCTGCTTAAGTTAGTGGCCTTGATCTAACACCACTCCAAACACAAAGGAAGACATTTAGGCTTCAGGAAAGAAGGTACATTACGTTAGTCACTGAGGTCAGAGGCTTTCCTTGGGATAGGTCCCATCTTTTGGGGATCTTTGTCTCTTGACTGCAGGGTCATCCCAAGGATCAAATGGGAAAATAGTTTGGGACACAGAGCTAAGAGAAAGACTTTTTCAGCTTTCTGCGAAAGATAGGACAGACTTGAGACACCTCTGCACACAAGCTGCCTGAGGTGGCAGTCCTGATCTAGCATCACTCCAAAGACAAAGGAAGACACTGAGCTTCAGTAAAGAAGGTACATCAGGGGAGCCACTGTACCCAGAGCGAGCACTTCCCAGTGCTTCTGGGAAGACAAGACTGAGTCTTACCTGAAGATAGGTAATTGACTCTGTGGCAACAGGGTCATCCCCAGGGGCAAACAGGTAAGAGAGTTTGGGATGCACAACTTCAAGGAGGAGAAAGATTACTGCAGCTTTCTGAGAGGGAGGACTGACTTGAGATCATCCCCTAGCACACAAACTGCTTGAGTTCATGGCCTTGATCTCACACCACTCCAGAGACAAAGGAAGATACTAAGCTTTAGAAGGGCATAATGTGTACAGAAACTGCTTAAATGGAACACGTGGTCTCTCACACCACTTAGCCACTTCATACACGAAGGAGGACAATAGAGTTTGGGACAGAAGACTGCATCTATTGTCTCTGCAGTGCAGAACAGAGAAAAGATCCAAGACTTTAGGAAAGATGAATTTTTCCCAAAAGGACTTCCAGTAGAGTGAGCGGCTCACCCCAATGACTGAACGTTTTAACCTGGCAACTAATCTATAACATCATAAAGATAAGAACCACCTACAACTTACACAGACAAAATAGAAATGGCCTAATACTTACCAAGAAAAACTTCACGTAATGTTGAGAAAGCAGCAGGCAGCTTCAAACACCACAAAAAAAAAACAAATTATGCCTTCTCAAAAAAAAACACCACAAACTGGAAATACTGCAGACCTGATGACTACCACAGAATTAAGAAGGCAGATGATATATGTTGCCATGGAGACATTAAAACAGCTATGAATGAAAGTACAAACGAAAGAAGCCACAAATAAACAGACTAACCTAGAGATAGAGAACCAGAAGAAAATATATTCATGTTATCTGAACAGCTAAGGAAAAAGGTTCAAATGATGGAAGAAAAATTGGAAACCAGCAAGAAAGCAAACACTCCAGAGACATGGAGCAGGAAATATATTGACAAGGAGGAACTTGCACAACTGTGGAAGAAAATGCAAAATATGCAAGAATTGAAACTATACATAAAGAGATACAAAAACTTAAAAAATCATCAGAGAACAGAGAGGGTACAGCCAACACAGTACTGGAAATAACAGAAATGCATGAAAATACAATTCAGAATATTGAGACCAAAATAGTAGAAGTGTTTAATATACTTGAGGGACAAAAAAGTAGAACAGAAGAGATGGAGTAGAAGAGTGAGCTGCAAGACAGAAAACGTAATGAAGCATACTAGAAGAAACATCAAAGATAAAAAGAAAATAAGGAAAACATTAGAATCATGTAGGATGACAACAAAAGGAATAACATACATATGGTTGGACTTCCAGAATACGAGAGGGACAGGGAAATCACTGAGAAAATTGTGGAAGAAGTACTAGAAGCAAACTTCCCAGGTATTATGTAGAATGAGGATATCTACTGTCAAAAAGCTCAGCAAACACCAAATAGACTAGATCCAAAAAGAAACACATCAAGACATATCATAGTCAAATTCTCCAAAATAAAAGTACAGAATATTTAAAGCAGCAGGAGAAAAACAGAGGAAGTACAATTAGATTAAGATCTGATTTTTCAGCAGAAACAATGCAAGAAGACAATGGGATAGCATCTACAAAAAGTTGAAACAACTGTCAACTGAAGATCCTGTACCCAGCAAAGCTCTCCATCAAATATGAAGGAGAAATCACATCCTTTGCAGAAAAGAAAGAAGGGATTTGTGAAAACAAAACCAAATATACAAGAACTTTTAAGGGAAATTCTTTACACAGAGACATCAAAGGAAAGTGGATGGACCATAATAACAGAAACAAGAAAAAATAAACACAGCAAAATGGCAATGATAAAACCTGGCCTGCTGGCGAGCTCTGGTGGCCTAGTGGCAGGAAACTGCACTGCAATCCCAGAGGTGCACGGTTCAAATCCACCAGATGCTCTGCTGAAGAAGGAGGAACAATCACCTCCTGTACCAGTCAGATCCAATTTGACGGTACACACATAAAAAAAGAATAAATAAATAAATAAAAATTATTTTAAAAAAAAAACAACAAACAAACAAAACCTGGCCTGTCAATAATCCTACTCAATGTGAAAGGACAAAATGCTCCAATCAAGAGAAAAAAGAGTAGCAGAACGGATTTTTTAAAAAAAAAAAATAAATAAAATCAAAGCCCATCAGTATGTTGTCTACAAGGGCACATCTAAGAAACAAAGGGAAACTCAAAGGCCAGGGGGAAAAATACCAAGCAAATGGCATCCACAAAAAAGTATAAGTGGCAATACTCATCTCTGACAAAACAGACTTCAAAATAAAAACCACCAAGGAAGGGCACTACATAATGATTAAAGGCATAGATTAAGAAGACCTAACATTGGTCAACATCTATATAGAAAATGACAGACCAGTTAAATACATAAAACACCTGTTAACTGAATTGAAGAAAGAGACAGCACTACAACAGAGGTGGCAGACTTTAATACACCACACTTATCAAAGGATAGGTCAACTCAAAAGAAACTTAAGATACAGAAGATCTAAACTAATACATTCAGCCAATGGCACCACGTAGATGTATTACGAGTACCGCATCCAAGGAAAATTCAATTGACTTTCTTCTCAGGTGCACATGGCATCTTTTCCAGAACTGATGAAATATTAGGACACAAACCAAGCCTCAACAAATTAAAAAACACTAAAATAATACAAATTATCTTCTGAGACCACAATGCCATAAAATAGGAAATTAATAACAAGAGGATATAGCTTCTAAAACAACCAATGTGGAAGTTAAGTAACACCCTACTAGAACATGACTGAGTTATAGAAGAAATAAAGAATGAAATAAAAAAGTTCCTCAAAACTTTGATAATACAATGTACTAAAACCTCTGGAATGTAGTTAAGGCAGTCCTAAAAAAGCAGTTCAAAGCAAAAGGCAAACACATAAGAAAATAAAGAAGTAAAATTAATCTCACTCAACACTTTCATCAAATAGATACAAGCAGCAACAATCTAACCCCATAGCCTCTAGATAAAAGGAAATGGTAAGAACAAGAGATGAAATCAATGTGATAGAAAACAGAAACAATTTAAATCATCAACAAAACCCAGAGCTGGTTTTTGAAAAGGTCAATAAAACTAACAAACCACTGGCAAACTTATCAAAAAGGGAGGAGACACTAAACCAATAACTCAATTAACTAATTAATGATGAAATAAATGACACCACAACAGAAACAGAGGAAATTAAAACTGTAATATCAGATTATGAAAAGCTATAATCTGATAAATTTGAAAACCTAGAGGAAATGGACAAATTCCTTGAACTCACATGCCCTATTCAGATTGACAAGGACAGAGAGAGAACACTTGAACAAATCCATCACAAAAGAAAAAAATTAGGTCATAAAGACTCCCCCACAAAAAAAGTCCTGGATCAGATGGTTCAACAGCTGAATTTTATCCAATATTCAGAGAAAATTAATCACCAATTCTATTTACATTACTTTAAAAAGAATAGAAAAAGAAGGATCATTCCCAGAGACATTCTATGAAGCAAGCATAACCCTAACACCAAAGCCAAGCAAAGATATTACCAAAAAAGAAAACTAAAGATCAGTATCTCTCATGAATACAGATGTAAAAATGCTTAAAAAAAAATCCTAGCCAACAGAATCCAAAAGCACAAAAGAAAAGAAAAATTTGATCATGACTAAATGAAATAAATTCCTAACAGGTTTGCAAGGATTGTTCAACAGAAAAAAACAAAGTAATTCACCACATTAATTTAAGCAAATAACCAAACCATATAATCTAAGCAATTGACGCAGAAAAGGTCTTTGACAAAATACAACTCTCCTTCCTGGTAAGATACTCAGCAGAACCGGAGTAGAAGGAAATATAGTGAAAATTATATATGCAAAACCAAGAGCCAGTATCTTTCTCAGCAGAGAAAGACTAAAAGTATTTTCCTTGCTAACAGGGACCAGAAAAGGATGCCCACTGTCACCACTTCTATATAGCACTGGAAGTACTTGCTAGGGCAATATGATAAGAGCAGGAAATAAAAGACATCCAGATCTGCAAAAAGATGGTTAAACTGTGGCTATATGCAGATGATATGATAGTGTACACAGAAAATCTCAAAGACTCAGTAAGAAAAACTGTTAGAGC